ATTGAATTTTTATAGCAGGTCATTCCTTCGCAATTACAATGTTTGAGAAGGATTTGAAGCAAAATTATGACAAATTAATTAGTTTGAATATGTTTTTAGTCCATATATACCATTAAATCACCCAGTTTGTGCGCGGGAACCCATCTTTAAAACACCTTAAGGATATGCCTAGCTCTTGTAATTATCGAGTACCCACTCACGTGTGGTACAATTCGCTTACCGGCGTTCTTAACCCTTATCACTCACTCACAAGCTTAATATCGAAACGTGTTTTCTTCATAAATGGCAGCGAGCTTTATGGATAACATTCACTAGGTTTATTAACTGCAATGTTTCAATGTGTGTACTTTCACCTTTATTATTAAACCTAGTTAATAAACCTTGTGAATGTTATCCTTAAAGATGTCTGTTATTAAAAATCGCCTTCAATAAATGCTTTTAAATATAATATTTCTTTTCAGATTAAAATATGGCGATTCTTTGAATGACGAGGAACTAGAAACGTTTTGTAAAAATGAGGTACCGTAGTAATTCTGTTACATCAGCTAAATATCTTGGCAAAACTAAATAAATTATATAGAAAACGGATTTAAAGTTGTTGACACTTATAGTCAAGGTACTTACATTGCACTTTCGCCAAATTTTAGATGCATTAATATCGGCTTCCTTAACACCAATCAGACCTGAGGGCGAGGTTACAGACTTTGTTTAATTCACGTTTTGCTGTTTCGGCAAGGTGGCCTGGAAGCTAAACATAACTATGACAGTATATTTATATAAATATCACTAATTAAAAGTTAAAACATCCACGACTGAATGTAATCTGAAAAGTAAAAATATCCATGTATATATATGGATACAGTATATATATATGGACTAATCGTGTAATATTATGTTTTATAGTTATACAGTAGAGATGTACCAAATTATTATTTTATTAGTGGACTGAACTAATCGTGTAATATTATTTTTTTTTATAGTTATACAGTAGAGATGAGCCAGATTATTACTTTATTATGGAATCATTTCCTGTTGTAGGTATTAGAAATAAGGTGGGTTAGATCATTTATAGATTTTATACCATTCAAGATAAATTATTTATGGCAGTGATTTTATAAAAACAATATGACTTGATAATGTCTCCATATATACATGTAGTATTATAGGGTGGTTAAAGTAGCTTAGTCTCTAACTCAACATCATCCAAAATCTTCAACATTGAAAACACGAATTATTTGTCAATTTAAATCAACATTGATGTTGTGATCTTACTGGGAAGAGATGGGCTTCTGATATCTAATATTTAAGACAAAATAAACATTTTACCATTCGTACACGAATCGTGTACCATAATGCGTTTCAGCGTCATTTGTAATAAGGGGCTTGAAAAACGAGGCTAAGTATATTCCACATGTCAAGTCAAACGGTGACGTCATATTGTTATCTGGAGAGCATGTGCAATAAATACTATCGGTGTAGACTAGAATAACCAGGCACTAGAGATTGTCATTCAATTGATACTTCTAGCGTATTTCGCCGAACATAAATGATTAAAAATTACAATGAAAACAGAAAAGATTGAATGTAAATCAGTTTATATACATTCATTTTACATTATTATATGCGTTGCGACCCATTTGTGTCAATTTCTAGGTTCCAAATATTAGCGATTTAGCTCCTTTAAGTTATGAAATATTTTAAAAACCTGTAAGCACACAATTAAACTGATTCATTACTAGCCACAAAGATATGATGGCTATAAAACCAAACATGTGGACAAGTTGCATTTGAACAGTTTTTGAGACACCGATTCTCTGTGCACACTCATGCAAAAGTCTTTGTTTTGATGTTTAATAGGTCTACGCTGACCGATAAATATCTCTATATAAACAAACTGTATATTTAATATTTTAATTTTCTGTCAATAGATTTCAAGAGCAGAAATAAAAAAGATCGTGGCAAAGAAAATAGAAACTATGAAGAATAATAAATCTTTTATGTATTTGTAGAAAAATAGCATTTATTTTACTTACTAATTTTGATATTAAATGTGCTTTAACGTCCTGTTCTTCTGCTCCGACACCCGATTAGATTTTATTACATACTTCGAGAAGGTATTTGTTGAGTAATAAAACCTTCTAGTAGTTTATCGAGGGCTGGCCGTCCTTACCGCACGGTACAAATAAAACCTTCTAGTAGTTTATCGAGGTTCGGGTGTTTCCGGAGTCCAAAGTGGCCGCTTTATATAAATGAGAATTTTGGGGATAACTAACCCGAACCCTAACCTAACCCTTTTTAAAAGACTGAACTTGGGTCTAATTTAGTTTTTACTTCTCTTAAAAGGGTTAGGGTTCGGGTTAGTATTCCCCTAAATACTCATTTGTATAAAGCGGCCATTTTGGTATGAGTTCTGACTTGTTCTGGAATTTGTTGCTTCTAGTGGTGATAATATTTGTACCGTGCGGTAAGGACGGCCAGCCTCGATAAAGTACTAGAAGGTTTTATTACTCAACAAATACCTTCTCGAAGTATGTAATGAAATTTAATCGGGTGGCTCCGACTGGGTTAATGAAGACGGAGCTAATTTGTTGTTGTATATGAATGTATGATAATTATTAAGTCTATCCAAGTATATTTCGATATATGAAATGTAAAGTCTGTAATTTTTTGGGACATTTTCTCGCGACCTTGTGCATTTTCTGGTCGTCGCACGGTCGCAGTAAGGACGCCATCCCGGCCTGACGGGGGTTTAATCAAAAGGTTACATTGAAGTATGAAATTTATATTTGTTTGATCAAACTTGTTTGTGATTTTTTACCTGCTTTATAAATTGATGTATATTATCTGCATATCCTTTTATATTATATTATTTACACGCGCAAAGCATTATATTTTATATATATATATATATATATATATATATATATCATTTATATTATTCCTATATGCTTTTTAAATGCTTTATATATTAACCTTTAATCTTTAATTTCAAAACAATTAAATTATTTCATGTTTTTGTAAATTCACTATTTTAAAGATAAACAGTTTTTGTAAATTTACTATTTTAAAAATAAACAGTTTTTGTAAATTCACTATTTTAAATATATACAGTTTTTGTAAATTCACTATTTTAAATAGACCAATTTCTACAGACGTGTCGGTCACAGAGAAGACCACAAAGGTTAAATAGGGGCTAATATGGGCTAACTGTTTAGTGTTAAATGCGTTTGTGCCGAAACGTCGTACCTGGGTTGTACACGCAAGGGATATACGGTTCGACATTAATACGTGGAAATCGGGTTTGGATATTGGAGATCGTAACAAAGTCATTGCTGCCAATACAACATATTTCGACAGAATGACAGGTTCCTAATTGAAACCTTTATAATTATGCCAATGAATGTTGATATGTTGTCAACGTAACTGCAGGTACTCGCGTTTGACCTGAAATCAATGAAATACTATATCCTGGCTTAAATCACGGAGCGTTAGCTCCTTTAATGTCTCTGATCACCATTTGCATTTTTCCTACACTATCTAATTGTGCACGACTTAATCTACGTAAAGCCTAGCCCTAAACCCGCCGTAAGTGTTTTGACACGAACAGGGCGTAGAGTTTGGATGCTCGCAGACCAGCCGCAAGAAACCGGGTGGAAATTTTGTATGTGCAGGATCAAAAGTCTCTACGGCCAGTCTGCTATCTTCTACGGTGCTGAACACACGCAAGTGACGCGTAAGTCTCACGCACGGATTTACTAAAAACTTTCCCGTAGACTGCCCGTAGTAGCAGGTATGGCGGGTTTTTGAGCTAGGCTTTAAATGTACACAAACTGATATGCGCAAGCGAATTACCGGTATTGCATTAAAATTGAACCATGAATTAGTTCCGAATATAGACTTAAAATAACTACCTGGTGCCGCGTTAGTGCCATAGGTGTTTAATAGGTCTTATTGACTAGTTTAAGAAAGTGCACTTGAAGTTCAGAGACGTAGAATTATTTGCGACCACAGCAGCTTTGACACAAAATAGTGTCACATCTCTGTATTCGTTGTCATAGTGTTTTGAGTGACTTGTGGCACAGGGTGGTAATTTTACGTCCACCAAAACAACATTGACCGTACCGTTACCCTTTTACCAATTTACATGGGACTTGACATTCTTGTTCTTTGGACGAATTGCTCATGGATTGGCCGACTTCGAATTTGATATGACTAGTCTAACTAAAGCGGGACACTCAATGCAAAATCCATTTAGTTTGACGTATACTGGTTCGTTAATTTGCTGTGGTTATTGAAATAATATGTTAGGAAAATATCTTACTCAAAGATGGTTAATTATAGTTAGTTAACAATAAATGATAATATTAGTATTAATTGAGTGAACCATACACGAGGCAAATGCATAGATATTGTCAATAGACAATGACTACATAATGCCTAAATTGTTGAATCACCTTCAGCTGGTATGTAATTGTAATCAGTGATATGAAAAGCTGTATTATACTGATATGTATAGTGTTTACCAGATTACGATGGCAAGGACAATAAGACCGCACGTAAGTGAATTCTGATATTGTTCATCAAAACACTGAACTGCATAATGGTTGCAAGGGCATTAACCTTGTAAATAATTGATATGTGACTCTGCACTTGGACTGGATCCACGTCTATGATTTGTTGAAAACTCTGACCGACACAGCCATAACAAGAAATTATCGACATCATGTCGGCCTATACAAAAATAGTTCAGAAGAATTGTAGATGGACGAGTTTATCAATATACGCCCACAAAGACGGACGTATAAAAAGTAAAATTAAGTAACAAACGGATGTCTCTTTGAATAAAGTTAGTTTCCAGTGAAGTATGCAAGAGAATCTAACTAGTGGTTGGTTTTAGTGAGTTTAAATTGGGCAGACATCAAGGTAGCTATGGTAAAGAAAACACTGGCCAAAACTGCAATGACTGATACCAATATATTAAAGAGACAGTAAAACAATTATATAGAGAGACAATAACACACATACAAATACATGTAATATACACATATGAACATGGCTACACGACGAATAATTGCAAATGGTTCACTACGCCGTTAAAAGAATTATGGTTATAATTATTTTTACAAAGCGTCCAGAGAGGTGATATTGGAGCCATTGTGTATTACATTATGTTCCTGTATGCTGTATGTCGTTCCTGTGCTAGTGTAATCATAGAATTGGAATCCAAAGTTTGTCTTATTCTTAGACCAATTACGGCTATAAAGCTCCATCTTCAAAAATGTCAAAAATAAAGAGTCTACCGGTCCGGGGCCGGATTTATCAAATAGGCATATTAGACCATTGGCCTAGGGTCCACAGGTATCGGGACTCCACTACTGAGTTTTACCCAGGGCCCACAAATTGGTAAATCCTGTCCTGTATGGGTCCGTAGTTTTGCATCGATAATGTCAACAGAAACACTGGCTTCAAAGCAAATAAAAACAATAAGTGTTGGAAAAACAATTCCATTCTTTTATAATATGTAAATGAGTTCATTCTTCCAAATATAGTAGCAGGCTGGTTTTCTTTCTCTGCATGAACTAGTCACTTCTTATCCCGGTTTAAATTGGATTACGACGATGATATATGATATAAGTGTTCCGACAATCTGAAAGTATACAGAAGGTGCAATGGTTAATTTAAACTATTTTCGAATCATTGGTCAAAATCGGTTCTGAACTCTGTAGTAAGTGTAAACCGACAGACACGTGAGTAGGGGCGACAACTGTTATACAGCAGTAACACACAATCGATTGTTTTTAAGGTTATATTTTCGTGATAATGACAGTTAATGTTGATAAAAAAAACATTACTCATTATGATAATGGTTAATTTATCTATGATAAAAACAATACTCACCGTGATAATGGTTGATAAAAACATTACTCACCGTGATAAAAACAATACTCACAGTGATAATAGCTGATAAAAACAATACTCACCGTGATAATAACTGATAAAAACAATACTAACTCACCGTGATAATGGTTGATAAAAACAATATTAACTCACCGTGATTATAGCTGATAAAAACAAAACTCATCGTGATAATAGTTGATTAAAAACAATACTCACAGTGATAATTGTTGAAAAATAAAATACTCACCTTGATGAGGGTTGATTTATCTATGATAAATAGTTTCATAAAGCTGAGACCAACGTCAGTGCATCTCATATTCTCAGCAAACAATGTTACCTTGAAACAGTAAACAAAACATTTGCAATCTTTTTTTGCCTGTGTTTAACCCACACTCGACACTATCTAAGTACTTTAGAGGCCCGCGCAACCCGCAACACCCTGTTAACCATCGTTTGGATTAACCAACTAACCAATCATTATAACCAATTGATAACATCGAATCATAGAAAAACCCTTTTTATCAACACAGAATTAATTGTTTATATATGACGAAATATATTATACTTTACAAAAGGGTTCTATCAATCATATGTCATATTCAAATTATCCTTTATTCTCTTTTATCCCAAGAACAATCGCCCAGTCCGATTCATTGTCTATACAATACACATACTAAGTCCCCCAAAATTGTCAGAAAATGGACGTACCACTGCTACGGTTTTATGAGTCATTTTAGTTCCATCCAGGTATTTGAATGTTTCTAGACACTGTTTGGCCTGAATAGAAACACAATACAGTGATCATTTCATTAAAAAGAGATGATAGAAAATTAAAAATATACTGAAATGATTGATGATAGAAAATTAAAAATATACTGAAATTATGGATGACTTGAAGTTTCTGTAAAGATCATATAGCTCATCCTTATAACGTTAACACAGAATATGGACCTAAAAGCACACAGTGATATAATGTAAAAGGAATGTATATTTACATTCAATTGTTAAGTCTTTTAAATAATAAATATCTAATCAATAATGTTCGTTTAAATACTGTGGTTGTTTGTGCACGTGTTTTTTTTTCAAAGAAAGAACTATCGTTATTTCGTCGCTTGTGAATAACGCGAATAGTTCAAATCGAACGGTGATCGATTGCCCCTGCTTAGTCCATTCTACATGGGTTTTTTTAAAAAGAAAAAAATATCATTATTCAATCGCGAGGTCTTCTGTGCTATGTTTTTCTTTGTTCATTACAAAAGGTGATCGAGACCAATATGTCAATATAGTACACGACGCCGTGTATCGATTTTAAAATTTCATTGTGTTTTACTTGTTGAATATTAGGATACCATATGTTCACGGCAAGATAACATCAATATCGATTGAAATGGGCCAATATTGAATTTCAGTTTTTGCATTTATAGAATACTAGGTGGGATACCCGCCTTCGCCTGGGGTCAAAATATAACCATATCATGGCCTAAAACATTCATGGGGCCATGCCGTTTAATATGTGGGGGTGCATCGCGGCGACGAATCGTGATGGGCGAACATACACACAGGCGTCTTTGATTTTAATTATATAGAGTAAGAATAATATTGAGTTAGTGGTTTAGCTCCATTAAAGCTCGACATTAAAAAGTTTCCCACCAATGCCAATTCATTGCTTCACTAACGTTTCAACTTTCAAACTTGTTATACATGATGCATAGACATTCTTGTTAAAACAATTTTCACCATTTTATCTTCAACTAATATTCTTTACATGCCCCCCCCACCCCACCTCTAATATTCTTCAGAACCCATGTCTGTTTGGTGAAATAAAGTTCAGATAATATTTGGTGTATTAATGTACAGGTCATATTTTAACAGAGTTCGGTGTCATATGTAGCCTACGGGTTGCACAGTTAAACATACATTATGCAAGCGCTAAATCTGTCTATTGCAGGTCTTTCTTTAGACCTGAAATGTTTTCTAAATTATTAATTAGACATTGATTAACTTACCCGGGCCATAATTGATTTGCTCAATGGAAATGAAAATCATTGAAACTTCCACGGAATATATCCTTGTACCACCAATTAGTATTACATTATGTATAAATCATCTCCAAATTATTTCTAATGTGTTTTCACAATTTCCTTTCCATAACCAATTTCATGGGAATTATCAATAAGAGATATAAATCAATGACTCTCTGAACATTTTTTTTAAAACTTAAAAAGATTATATGCTATTTGTAATTCTTAAATCACCGATTTGGGTTTTAATTAAAAACTTTCTTTGTGTGTGTGAGAGAGATTGTTTGCTTATAGCTGCTTTGTTGTGGTATAAATAGAGAATCTCCTACAAGTCTTTTTTGATATCAAAAAAGACGAGTAGGAGATTTTATTTATCACCCAATCCCTTCTTACATGCACAAATAGATAAATATAATTCTTTGCTGTAGATTTAACTTTTACTGAACATTATGGCGTAGAGATACATCATTTTTTGACAGCAATTCAACCATTGCAAAGTCCTTTATATTGACCCAGTGTTTCCATCAAGGTCAATTGAATAACAATAGTTCATTTTTAATATTAAAAAAAGTTACTTTTAATAAGAGATGAACTGTTCTTTGAAAATAAAAAAAGTAGTTCCTTTTCAACTGACCAATCAAATTCATGTAAAGCGATATCTCCTAAGGAGATATCGCAGTAGATTATGAAATATATCACACAAACGATATCTACTGTAGAATGTATTATTGGGTGATAAGTTGAATATAATTGCCCGGCTGATTTTCATCAACGTATAACAAAACACAGCAGATAACCGGCTGGACGATTTACCCAATATCACCACCACAATATCACCACATACTACCCAATACTATAACATAATGATTCAAAATGTGAATATTGCTTACATCCCCACCCCCCCCCCCCCCAAAAAAAAAAAAAAAAAAAAACAAATGTCGCAGAAAAAGTATTTCAAATGCGATTTAGCAATGTCTAGCCGTTCCAAATGCCTCCTTATATCATCCCGAACACGAGGCCACATCAACAGGTGGGCCTATACAAAAATAGCCAAGAACTCTTGATCAGATGAAATTGTAGATGGACGGATTTACAAAAATACGCCCACAAAGACGGACGTATAAAAAGTGAAATATTAAGTAGCAAACGGATGTCCCTTTTAATAAAGTTAGTTTCCAATGAAGCATGCAGGAGAATCTGACTAAAGTTGGAAGAGATCAAGACAACTGTGGTAAAGAAAACTGCGACCAAAATGTAACATGAATTACAAGGACTGATAAAAATAAATTAAAGGCAAATGGTTTCACTAGGCCGTTATAAGAATTATGGTTATAATTATTTGTAAAAAGTGTCCAGAGAGGTGTTATTTGAGCCATTATGTATTATATTATGTTCTTTTATGTTGTACAAGCTTTTAAATTATTACCAATGTATGACTTCTAACTGTCCACCATGTGTAAATGAATTCTATTTTTCCAAATGTAGTTGTAGAGAGATTTTTTCTGTATCATCTAGGCACTTCTTATCCCGGTTTAAATTGGATTACGAAGATGATATAGGATATACGTTTACCGACAATCTGAAAGTTACGTGTATACAGGAGGCGCAATGTGGGTAAACAATAAAGATGATGAAATGGCGAATTTCACTTTGATACACGCACTAACTATATGTTTGAATAATTGGTGATACTCGGTTCCGAACTCTACAGTAAGTGCACACAGACAATCTGAATTTTTCATGTATACAGGAGGCGCAATGTGGGTAAAAATAAAGATGATGAAATGGTTAATTTCACTTTGATACAAGCACTAACTATGTTTGAATAATTGGTGATAATCGGTTCCGAACTCTGCAGTAAATGCACACCGACAGAAACATGAGCAGTGGCGACAACTGTTATATAACAGTAACATCAAATCGATTGTTTTAAAGCTTATATATTCGGGATAATAACAGTCAATGTTGGAAAATAAACAATACTCACTATGATGATGGTCGATTTTTCTATGATAAAAAAAATACTCATCGTGATATTGCTTGATAAAAAGAATACTCACTGTGATAATGGTCGACAAAAACAATATCCACTGTGATAATAGTTAATAAAAACAATACTCACCGTGATAATAGTTGATAAAAACAATACTTACCGTGATAATAGTTGATAAAAACAATACTCACCTTGATAATGGTTGATAAAAACAATACTAACCGTGACAATGGTTGATTTATCTATGATGAATAATTTCATAAAGCTGAGACCAACTTCAGAGCTTCTCATATTCTCAACAAACAATGTTACCTTGAAACAGTTAACAAAACATTTGTGTTTAACCCCTACTGGACACTATCTAAGTACTTAACCAACCAGGAATTAAAATGCTTAGAATAACCTACTAACCAATCATTATATCCAATTGATAATATCGAATCATAGAAAAACACTTTTTATTGACACAGAATTAATTGTTTATATATGACGAAATATATTAAACTTTACAAAAGAGTTTTATGAATCATATTTCATATTTTCCTTTATTCTCATTTATCCCAAGAACAATCGTCCAGTCCAGTTCATTGTGTATAACAATACACACCCCAGGTCCCCGAAAACTGCCAAAAACTCAACTTACCATTGCCACGGTTTTATGACTCATTTTAGTTCCATCCAGGTATTTGAATGTTTCTAGACACTGTTTGGCCTGAATAGAAACATAATACAGTGATCATTTCATTAAAAGCAGCATTTTGATGAAGAAGATGGTTGCAGTTTAAAATTTGACAAAACATGAGATGCTAGAAAATTAAAAATGTACTAAAATTATGAATGACTTAAACTCCCTTTACAGGGCGTATAGCTATAATTATCACTGGAATTTTAACATAAATGAATGTATATAACGTGATTTACATTCAATTGTCAATGTTTTTATGACAAATGTCAAATCAATTATGTTCGGTGAAATATGCGAATAGTCCAATTGAACCATCGTGCCTGTCTGCTTAGTTCATTCTACACGTTTTGCTTTTGTTTATAAATTTATTATTTTGTCGTTTGTCTTCTTCTGAGCTATGCTTTCTTTGTTCATCACAAAATTCGTTCGTAACCATTAAGTTCATAATACACGAATCGTCGTGTTCTAATTTTAAAATGTTCATTGCGTCTCAAATGGAGGATATTAAGGCAAGGTAATAGCACCAACTTTAAGTGAAATGGACCGATATTTTTGATATTTAAGTCGTGTTTTTAATTTCGAAATGAGTTTAAGGTTTAGTTCCTTTATTTCATACTTGTTTAGCAGGATGCGTAGTCCGTCTTCGTAATAACACATTTCTAGCACTTTACATTCAAATAATATTCTTTAAATACCCCGCTCGCCCCCCCCCCCCCCCCACCCCATCACTCAAGAACACTTGAAAGCACTTATCAATAAAAAATTATAAAATATAATTGTGCAACCATATGATTTTATTTAGTAAATGTCCTTACACACTGGACCCATTGTTCTGACTCAGGTGTTCAAGTTACTGATCAACCTGTAATGTGTTGTTTCAGCACGTGCACAGGTGATCATTTGAGGAAAAGTAGGTGTTCATATAAATTATAAACCTGTAACGGTAAATCTCTGATCTTTGGGATGAATTCTATGCCCGGAATAACTTGCGATCTTAAAGTCGGGGGCGGCTTTGAATATATATAGGGGAATTTTGGGTTATTCTTCTGAAAGGTTTTCTTTAAACCCATTACGGGTTATTCTTCCACTGTAGGTTTTTATTTCCCATAAGAAAACATGAAATAGGGTTTTTCTCACGGGAATTCTGGGATGTACTCCTGATAGCAGGTAAAATTTGAGTTTAAACAATCTGTTGACTTTATGTGCTCGCCAAAAAGCACTATCGTGTATGACATTAAAGATACCCAACTTTCAAGAAATGATACTGGGTTTAACGTCCTACTGTTCTGTCTCGACTAGGCTAATGAACACGGACTTGCGATGAGAAGAATTGTCAAGAAATTGGTAATTAATCAACGCGTGTGTGCGGGGGGGGGGGGCGTAGCGACCAATCGACACAACCAGGTCATTTCGGGACTAACACATGGTTCAATTTTATTTCAATAATTCACTTGCGCGTAGGGTCTTTAGCCATGGGAGGAACCCGGAGAAAACCCACGGGGTTCGACAGGCGACCCTAAATCCTTGTCACGTACATCTGGGGAATCGAAACAAAGTCAGTTGCAACAAGGTGAAATAAACACAAATTATATGCTTTATTTTATATTTATATTGAAGGTTATTGTATTTCTGGCATTTTGGACTTCCAGGGGTTGGTCAAGTTTCACTTGAAGTCGGTCGTCGAGTGCGGCGTTCTGCGACAAGTCGTCGAGTATGCTTCTCTGTAGTTGGTCGTCGAGTGTGGACTTGTGTGGTTGGTCGTCGTTCCTCCATCCTGCACCACTGACAAGGGGAAACTACGTCGGAAAATCCCAATGAACTTTCTCCGCCAATGTTCTAACACAATGTCCTACCCTACCACTTGCCAGACGTTCGACCTCGTTATCCTCTTGATTCGAGCTTTGAATGGAACTTATTTTTTCCTGAAGACAATTTTACTTTAGCTAATATAATTGCTTACTGTACAAACGAATTATTTCTTTGTTTTTGAATGTGTTTCATGTCTAATGATACAGTTTACGTACCAAAGTGATTTATACTTTTCAAATAAATGGACATAACACCTTTCCTTATATGCTCGCACAATTTTTGGTCCACTTTTGTGGCTCTTTAACCCATCACTATTCGTCTTGGATACCCCTCCTCTTTGTACAGCAAGTACCTCTTCGCATTACTATCCATATGCGGTCCGGTTATCTGCGGATTATCAAATAGCCTTAATGATTCGTGTTCCTGCTCCCTCTTAGTAAAAAATGCAGACCTGAAAAATTTATCAAAATATTGTATTTGAAGTTAGTTCTCCTTTAAACCCCTCCCCCCTCCACACACACACAAAACATTCATTTTGAATCGATTCGTCTAAAATACAGAACAATCAATATACATGTATGTAAAATTCATGAAAGGAAAATTATCATTCGTTTCGAGTATTAACCCTCTATTTTAAATTTTAGTTTCTAGAAGATAATCTTACCAGTAAGATAGAAGATCGTGTCAAGCAAAACAGCCGGTGTATCACTCCCCAAAACACCACGTTTCCATATCTGTTTGTTTTGGTATTTTCATGCACGTCTTTCTTGGTAGACCCAACTATTACAGTCTGCAACAACAAGTCTTTGTCTTCTTCAGAAAACATTTGACACCATAACAAATACTTTGAATTTAAATCAAGAATTACCTATTATTAACAGGCGTTATGCAACCATTCGCGATTCAAATAATATTGTGAACAGTGCGTACGCCAGCCAAACTAATGAAAAGGTCGGCCGTGATTTGCACGTGCAAAATTGAACCAATCAACAATTTGATGTATATTTAACATTACTGCAGACGACATGACACAGGGAATATTCTATTTAGATTTAGTGTTATTATTGCCCTTCTAACAAAATATTTATTACATTTTATTAAAAAATCAAAAATAAATATTTATTCCGCCAACATATTTACACCCAATATAATATTGGCGTTGAAGTATACCCGAACATACGTAATTTAATTTTCCAGATTATACTCGTATTTTACTTATATTTTCATTTTACATGTAATCATAAACGGTTTATAAGCAAGATAAAGTCCTCGACTTCGGTTATGCTGGGGAAGAAAGACTTCAGAAAAAACCCTCAAAAGAAAAACCTCGGCCTATCGGCCTCGGGTTTTCTTTTTCTCGGGTTGTTTTCTTCAGTCTTTCTTTCCACAGCATAACCTCAGTCTCGTGCTTAATCCTAAACTGAACACCCCAACATACTAACCCGGTGATTGTCAAAACAGACCATGCATTTTCGTGCGTGCACTGTATTATAAATAACAAGAAACACCGTGTTAGTTACAAATTATAAATACATGCAGTTAAAACAATAAATAAATATTTTTTCAATGTAGATTGTGAAATAGTATCATTAGCTAGAAAACGCATCCAATAGTATAAGGAACAAATACACAAAACCTAGCGAACTGGGATAAATTTCTGTTTGGCCATATTTTAGATAATTTGTAATCTTGTAAAATACCTTTCCTACATCATCGCACATGCTATATTTTTTTGGAAATGGTTATTTATTTCTGTGGCTGACAAATCGCGAATGTAAAACGTATTCCAGTCAATGCAGCATACCCCATTCACACCAAATAATTATTATATTATTCATTGGCCTGTTGTGGATTTTAAAGATAGGTTGCCAGACAACGAAACATACGCCCACAGCAGCTAAGTCGTCCGAGCAGTCAATAAGGGTGTCACATATTTTTTCTTTTGTGGGGAAGGAGAGAGAAATGGGGTTTAACGTCCACTCGAAACAAAAGAGGTAATTTCGGGACTAAAATGGTTCAATTTTATTTCAATAATTCGTTTGGGCGTAGGGGTCTTTAGCAGTGGGAGGAAACCGGAGGACCCCGAGAAAACCCACGAGGTTGGACAGGCTACCCTACGCCTTGTCACGTACTACCGGGGAATCGAAACCACGCCAGTTGACTCAATGACAGACGTTATGATACAACGCGCACGCGCTAACCATTCGGCCATCGAACCCCCCTTGTCGGTAAGGAAAACATTTACAACACATTAAAATATAAGTACGAATTAAAACCCATTAAGTAATTGTCATACTTGTTTGGCTTCTAATTCTGCCCTATACTGACGTTGAGTACTCAAAACATTAAATATCAAGGGCCACAAGTCTGGAAGTCATTATCGGAAATCATTGAAAATCAATAGGATTCTTCGTCTCATGACTATAATTGTTCAGCCTCCAGGGCGTGGACACCGGACGGGAGCGACATAAATATACGACATGTTGACGTATCAAAAGTGCCGAAAACCTGAAATCAGCAAATAGACTTAAAATACATTTATCCATATACCAATCCAAATTCCTTAAAGTTGTATTTAAAAAACCTGACATTTGAATGATCTGATTTGTATGCATCGTAAATAAACAGGTATACACTGGCTATATTCAGGTTATGCCCCCCCCCCTCAATCTGCTGAATAAACGACAATACGTGACAGTCAAAATAATATATTGATACCTGTTATAGACGAATTGGTAAAATTATTTTGTGTGATAAAGGGCCTCTGATTTTCATCTCTCTCGTATCCGTCCATTTTCATTCACTCATTCATCTTCTTACAAAAACAAAGAATCCAGTGTGTAAGTGAGTTATCGACCTTCGACCCTCGGGGTCAAGTTAGATGAACACCCGAGCTCGGGTTCTTTTACGTGCAAGGCCTTCTGTCATGCACAACTAACATATGGAAGTCCTGATGAACTTTCTCGACCAACACAGGGATCCCCAGGTTAGCGAGCCAACATCTTACTCAATGAGCCATCGCGGCTTTCACTAGATTTGTCAGAATTACAAGCAGCTAATATCTGGACAATCCACGATCATTAATTTTTGTTGGTATAAAAATTGGCATACTTACTTCCTCATTTAATGAAGATCCTTGCAAAATAAAAACTGATAATTCTACAAGTTCTGTGATTATATATAAACTATTTGACACTATTACAGCAAATGACAAAGGATTGGTGGCCAAGGTATAGATTTGTGTGCAAATCCACAAGATATTTAGAAACATTGTGCAGGCATCGAAAGGCTTAAATGTAGCATCGAGATCTTCACAAAGTTGACATACAAGAAAATATCGTTCCTTGATTTCTTGCACTTTCTTTTCGGTTGGAATGGAATCCAGTAGTTTTTTAAATTCATCATTACATCTAGAAAACTCTTTCTTTACGATAGCGATGAGGATAAACAGACATCCATGCATTGAAATTTTATTCCCGAAAATAAAGAACACAAAAAGCGGTAGAGTTGTCGTGTTTACCCAGAAAATGGTAGTACTGTTCTGTGTAACAGGTGATTGTACACACTCATAATCAGATACGAAAGGTGGGCTTATGAATATGAGGATTTGACATCAGATTGTCACACATCTTCAGGAACTTGTTGATTCTTATTGGCAGAAATCGAAGACCCAATATTAACGTAAAAAACGACATTAAAATCTGAGTCAGAATTGTAATAGCTGCCACAGTCAGTGACCAATCGTGTGCAACATCCGCGCCATTAAAACACCATATGACTTTAGCTATGCACCAAAGCAAAAATATCACCTGTAGAATGATCAAAGCTGTCTGTAAAACAGTGGAACAACGGCTACCTCTATGGACACCATATAAGCCAAATACTTTCATGAAATATAGCAATGGTTTAATAGATTGGTATGTTTTCGATGTGTTCTTCTGCCAGATATCTGTTTCCCATTTAGGCTTCATTTTGGTAACCGATGTTTGTCAATAGCTTTGCTGAATCGAAATGAAAATTCTTGAAACGAGTAACTAGTTTTACATTATGTATAAATCATGCCCACATACGTTCTAATGATGTGTTTTCATTGTTTTCTTTCCATGACCAATTACATGGGAATTATAAATAAGAGATATAAATCAATGACCCCCTGAACAATTGTTTTTCAAACTTAAAAGGATTATGACACTTGTAATTATTAAATTATCTATTTTGGTTGTAATTAAACACATTTGTGTGTGAGAGAGATTTTTCCTTCATTTGGTCGTGTATAAATGCTTATAACTGCTTTCTTATGGCACGTGTTGAATATAATTGCCCTGTTGATTTTCATCAATGTATATTTATTTGTTGTTAACAAGTATTCGATAATAAACAAAGATGATAAATACTGAATTGTTTACCTAGAACATCATCTCTTAACCAGAAATTGACTGAAAGCAATATACCTCCTCTGCATCGTAGTGATACCGATATTTCAAATGATTTGCATGCGAAACCAGAACTTCAGGTATTAATTATGTTTGGTTTTAAAATCTGATGTGTTTTGTAGTTCAGATCGTTCGAAGTTCTTGACGAATCAAATTGTCTGTCTTGCTTTACTGGGCTGCGTATTATGTGGGGAATTCTGGGAAAGTGAGCATGGGAATGATTCGGAGTGGTTTTTGGGGTTGCAAACAGTTAGAATACCACTGTTTGATATGCACTTCACCATGATAGATTACACTGTATGGTGTATAAACTGTAATAATCGGAAAGGGAATAATAGGAGTCACATATTTATCCAAATTAACCATCGCTACTTGCTTCAATGACAGACAGAACTTGCGTGTAAAGGAAGAAAATGATATGGCGTATAAGTACCGTAAACGACGAATGTAATGCCGCATCAGATTTCAAAGTTGGTGCTACTCGGTGGAAGGTAAGCTCCGACTAACTTTGACAAGTCACCTGACAGATTCAAAACGCTTGGTTACATGGGATTTTGGCCGAGAAAGTTTCTCGGGATTTACCAAACTGGTTTCCCTGTCAAAAATGTTGGACGGCGGGTTTGGCTATGGAAAGGTGTCTGGTCATTGGGCCCCAGTAGTGTACTCGTAGGCGTGCACGTAAACGAACCAGTGTCAGCCGTGCCGCTGCCCGGTCAAAATTTTACTTAAAGCACGCTGTATGACGTATGCCCGTCTTTACCAGCTCGATTGGTGGAGTTAAGTAGTCCGTTAAATATCAGTTCATTGTTCGGTTACAAAAATTACCTGGTGAATGACGATGATACATGATTAATAAGTTATGTTTAAACCATGGTGATAGAATGCTTTTTAAGATAATTGAAAATTACCCCACATATTAATTTAAACACACAACTAATAAAACGTTAATTCATTTAATTGAAAGAAAGGAAGATATATTTTCCGGTAATCAAATCGGTCGATATTTCTAAATACGTGTCTAATTGCCGATTGCGCATAGACAGAATCTAGTCGTTAGTCAATACAAGTTCACCTTGCAATGTTTTTCGTGAGGCCGGTAATGATTCAGCTGTTTCAAGTCATGAGATTAGTAATCCACTGATACTCATTTACAAACTAATCAAGCAGAATCAGATATTCTTCTCGCAAAGGCTATACAAGATAAAGTTCTTGTCTGATCATTTTATCAAATTGGTAGGGATTGTTCAATAATATCATTTATCATTTACGTATCGCGTTAACAAGCTTTCATTTAAAGTTCGATGGCGTTTTTTCGAATACAGCTGACCCGGGACTAGCATTCAGAAGGTGCCATAATGTTGAACCTAAGCAATAATAACATGACAACAAAGCAAATGCCTGCGGTTTTTGAAATAATCTATGAAATACTCTAGATTATGTGAATGTACGAATTGGCACGCTTATAAACATTAGAGACTTTTGCCAAGCGTAAATTCCTGGTC